TTTATTGGCCAAGTGTGATTGGACACACAAGGAATTTGTCTTCAGTGCAAATGCTGTCAGTGTAACATAAAAAGAAAAGATACATTCATCAAGTGTCAAGGATCATCCAGTACAACACTTCATAATAGTCATAGGGTACAAATAGGCAATCAAATCATACTAGGAAACAGTCAATATTAAATCGTAAGGAGACAAGCGACAAAGTTACAGTCATACAGTCCCAAGTGGGAGGGGGTGGGTGATAAGGAGGGATGAGAAGGTTAATAGTAATAGTAGTGCAGACTTAGTAAATAGTTGGACAGTGTTGAGGGAATTATTTGTTTAGCAGAATGATAGTACTTTTCCAATTAAGATAGTAATAGTAATTTCTACCTCTGTTATCCAATCATTGATAAAACGAGCCCCATGTTTGAAAGTATTCTGTATCTTCTTTTTCTTTTAACTGTCCATCCGTCCATTTCTGCACAGTCTAGCATTTTTTTAAAATTACATCTTCTGTAGGTGTTTCTTCATTTTTCCCAGTATGGTGGTTTCCTTGCAGACGTTTCACGACCCAACTAGGTAACATCATCAACGCGAGGTGATGATGCTAGCCCTGATGATGTTATCTAGTTGGGTCACCAAACGTCTGCAAGAAAAGCCGCCCCCCCAGCTCAGAGAGCACCCAAAGACCCCCACAATTCAGGAAAAGTTGGTTAAACAAGCTATGTGTCAGAGTTCTGGTGATTGCCCGAATGAAATCATGAGCCTCGAGCCAAGCTTCAAAAAAACTCAAAAGATTTATTAGGAGCAACATGTCAGCATTATCCTAAATGAAGCCAACTCTGGCATACGTAATTTACAGTCCCCTGTGATCCTGTGTCCCCACTGCCCCCACCCCCGTGTATCATAAATCAGATTCTCCAATGAAGCACGTTCACAGGGCTGGGTGTCATCAATCACATTCTCCAATGAAGGATTTTCCCGGGCAGAAGATCCGGTAGCCTAGCTACAATCTTTGTAAGATAAGTGTCAGGGCTCCATCAAATCCACCCCCATTCAAATCATAAGTCTCTAGCTGCATCTCTCAGAATAATTTTTTTTAAAATTAGGAATGGCCATGTTGGTGTTAGCTGGGTGCAGCCGACACTAAAATACATCATTCATTTCCCCCTTGACCCTGGTTTTCCCCCAATCCCCTGGATATGTATTCTCCAATGGGACACCTTCATAGCCAAGAATCATCAATCATGCTCTCCAGTAATAATCTTGCACGCCAACAGCTTTGGGCTGCCAAGGCGATTATCTGAGGCATTTAAGGAATGCACTGCTTTCCCCCACTCCCTTTCTGCTGGCAACTAAAAAGACCAAAGGAGTTTTTTTTTTTTTTTAAGTTGATAATAACGTTGGAATGTATTTCCAGTTTTAAACTGCTGTTGTGCTACTTCAGTTCTCTCCCCCACCCCACATTGTTTATGGCAACTCGAAAACAGGCATAGGAATGTTTTACGAGTTGACACTATGGGTGCTGGATGTGGCCTCCACTAAACTGTCATATGGGTTGTTGTTGTTGTTTTTTGTTTGTTTGCTTAGCAAGTTGTCTGATCTTGATACTCGTGGTTTCCAAGCCACGATGTACGGGGGAAGTTGACTAATTGCAGCTTAGCTGACAAATCAGAGCTTGGACGAGCGAGTCGGTCCCAACCGCTGGGCTTTCTCCTCTTCGTTTTCTAGCCATCATTGATGAGATGATTAAAGAAGATGGTTTTGGTGAGGACGGGGCCCCCAAGTTGATTCCCAGAAGCACCAACTTCGCCCCGCCGGAGATGGAAAGAGCTGGAAGGATGAGCCTCTTGCTGGAGCCTTATGGGGTCTCGGACATCCCTACTCCGGGTTCACCCCAGGATTCCTTCCCCCAACAGCTGTCCCGGACCCTCAATAGTTTGTCCTTGCAGCCCCAGCTGGTCCCAAGGGGGCTGCCGCCCCTTCCGCTGCCCTCCAGCCGGGATTTGGACGCTCTGTGGCCAGCTCCCGGCCCTTCGGGGTACTCCACGGTGGCCCCAAAACCTCTGGATGACACGATGTGTGACCTGCCCGAACTGGTGATCATCGAGCAGCCGAAACAACGGGGGATGCGCTTCCGGTATCAGTGCGAAGGACGGTCAGCCGGGAGCATTTTGGGAGAAGGGAGCAGCGAGACCAACAAAACGCTGCCCACCATTGAGGTGAGCGGCCTGGGCAGGGGGAGGGCGGAGTTAAAGGGCGAGCCCCGCCCATAGGGGGGAGGGGCTTAGAACAGAGAAGCCAGGAAGGGGCTTCAATCCAGGTGTGCCCTCCAGGCGTTGGGATAAGGCGGCTCGCAGGCTGGACTTTTTCTCCTGGGATTGATAGGGAAAAGAGCCACAAAATGCTGATTTTGATAAACTTAAAGCCCCCGTGAGATTATTGTAAGCACAGATGGGAAGATTTGGAGGTGAAGGTATTAGCAGCTCTGGTGGCCTAGAGGTGGAATTCTCGCCTCGCAATCAGGAAGCTGTGAGTTCGATCCTAGGTAGAGGCTAATATTTAGAATAGACTCTCCTGCTTGAGCAGGGGGTTGGACTAGATGACTTTCAAGGTCCCTTCCAACTCTGTTCTTTTAGTCCTCGACTTACAACTGCAACAGAGCCCAAAATTTGTGTGGCTAAGCAAGGCAGGGGATAAGTAAGTTTTGCCCCGTTCTACGAGCTTTTCTAAATGAATCCCTGCAGCTGTTAAGTGAAACACAGTCGTTAAGTGAATCTGGCTATCCAACACCCCACCCACATTGACTTTGCTTGTTGGAAGACAGCTGGGAAGTTATAAATGGTGATCACGTGACCTCAAGGCCCTGCAACTGGCATAAGTAGATGCCAGTTGCCAAGTGCCTGAATTTTGATCAGTTGTAAGTGTGAAAACCAGAAGTGACTTTTTTCGTGCTGTTCTAACTTTGAACAGTCGCAAAATGAACAGTTGCAAGTCGAGGACTGCCTCTATTCCCCTAATGGAAGAATGGCTGGTAAAGTAAAATAGAGTAGAGTAGAGTAGAAGTAGAGTAGAAGTAGAGTAGAGTAGAGTAGAGTAGATTAGAATAGATTAGAATAGAATAGAATAGAATAGAATAGAATAGAATAGAATAGAATAGAATAGAATAGAATAGAA